ATGTAAATATTGCCACATGAGACTTGCAATTACAATTTATGTTCTATTGGAGAAGATAACATTTTATTTTCATAATTTGTTGGTTCATTTTAAAAATTTTAAATAAAAGCCTCACTTAAAATTTTAATAATCTTAATATATACATATGTACATATGTATATATTACTATCTCAGGGAAATGTAACATGTTTAGAGACAATGTAAAAAAAGAGAAGTAAAATTGTGAATTATGGAAGAGAGATTCATCAAGTTGAAGCTAAAGGCTGGGACCAGGCAACTTCATGCTCTAAGGAAATCTTGGCTGTCTCAAAGTTGGAGCTGGTTGGAGAATATATTTTTATATTAGCTAAGGAGAGAAGAATTTCTTCCAGCTAATCAAAATATTCTAGGGAAAAATATCTCTTGAAAATGAAAAGTTTCTTGTATTTTGTGTAAAACATCTCATCCATTTTTATTACTAATGTCCCTTGTTTAATTTCTTGGATCTAGGTGAAGCCAGGTCAAATGGATGAAAACCAAACAGAAGTGGTGAGAGAATTTGCCCTGGCAGGCTTCTCACAGAAACGATCTATTGAGGCAGGGCTATTTGTACTGTTTCTCTTCTTCTATGTGTCCACATGGATAGGCAATGTCCTCATCATGGTCACAGTGGCTTCTGATAACAATTTAAATTCATCACCCATGTATTTTCTTCTTGGCAACCTCTCTTTTCTGGACCTTTGCTATTCAACAGTAACTACTCCTAAGCTTCTGGCTGACTTGCTTGATAAAAACAAGCTCATTCTCTATGACCAATGCATTGCGCAACTCTTTTTCCTGCATTTTGTAGGGGCAGCTGAGATGTTCCTGCTCACAGTGATGGCCTATGATCGCTATGTTGCAATTTGTCGCCCCCTGTACTATTCCACAATCATGAGTCGAGGATTATGCTGTGTGTTGGTAGCTGCCTCCTGGATGGGAGGATTTGTGCACTCTACTGTCCAGACCATTCTCACTACCCGTTTGCCCTTTTGTGGGCCAAACCAGGCGGACAACTTCTTTTGTGATGTTCCCCCTGTCATCAAACTTGCCTGTGCAGACACATTTGTCATTGAATTACTAATGGTATCTAACAGTGGGTTGATCTCTACCAGCTCGTTTGTGGTGCTGATTTCTTCCTACACCATCATCCTTGTCAAGATTCGCTCCAAGGAGGGAAGACAAAAGGCACTCTCCACTTGTGCCTCCCACCTCATGGTGGTAACACTCTTTTTCGGACCCTGTATTTTCATTTATGCTCGTCCCTTCTCCATTTTTTCTGTGGACAAAATGGTGTCTGTACTCTACAATGTTATCACCCCTATGCTGAATCCCCTCATCTACACACTTCGGAACAAAGAGGTCAAGTCAGCTATGCGGAAGCTGTGGGGTAGGAGTGGACTTCCTTGGAAAAAGCAGAGGCCCTAAGAATTTGAAGTGAGTTTCTGAAAGCAAAGAATCTGAGGTTAAAATAATTCATTCTGTATTAATGAGTTAGGAGATGAGAGCCTAGTTGTTCCGTTTTCTTTTGTAATACTTCTAGTTATGGCTTTATAATTACATTAAACTCAGGAAAACTCCTTTCATATTGAATTTTCCAATCTCCTGCTTCCTTTTCTTCCCCGAAGCAAATCTGTTTTCTGTTTTTATCAGTCTGTGTTCTTTCATTCTATCCTTTCATTTGATCAAATTTTATTCCATTCTTTCTTTCTATTCAGTTTGCTATTACACAGTGGTACAAACTACCCTTTCCAAACTCTCACTACTTTTTCTTTGCCTTGCCACAGTTTTTATTTTCTTCTTGATTTTTAAGCTTTTTAAAAATTAGATGTCTGAATAAAACTAGATGAATTGAATAAGGAATTTATATATGTTTTTATTCCCACAAAATATTTAAAGGGTATCAGTTAGATGAACTAGGGTGAATCAAATTTATATGACTGTTGAATAATAAACTAATGGGATATATTAGTTAGTTTTGTCACTTCTCCATACTGCTAACAACCATGTAGTAGTATAATTGACAGATCAATCGCCTAATAGTATGGGTTCAAGTACCCATCTGTGAGTTACAAGCCAATTGAATCTAGACAAATTAATGAAATTATTGGAACCATAATTTCCTTATCTGTAGTATTCACAAAATGATGCCTACCCCTCAGTGCTCTTTTGGAGGGTAAAAATTACAATAGATATGAATATATATAGTTTGGTGCCTAGCTCATAACAGAGCTTTACTATTATTTATTTATTAAAGTTGGTTTTTTTATGACAGAAGATACAGATGGTGATATTTGAAACTGGTTGATTTGCTGGGGCAGCTGAGATGTTCCTGCTCACAGTGATGGCCTATGATCGCTATGTTGCAATTTGTCGCCCCCTGTACTATTCCACAATCATGAGTCGAGGATTATGCTGTGTGTTGGTAGCTGCCTCCTGGATGGGAGGATTTGTGCACTCTACTGTCCAGACCATTCTCACTACCCGTTTGCCCTTTTGTGGGCCAAACCAGGCGGACAACTTCTTTTGTGATGTTCCCCCTGTCATCAAACTTGCCTGTGCAGACACATTTGTCATTGAATTACTAATGGTATCTAACAGTGGGTTGATCTCTACCAGCTCGTTTGTGGTGCTGATTTCTTCCTACACCATCATCCTTGTCAAGATTCGCTCCAAGGAGGGAAGACAAAAGGCACTCTCCACTTGTGCCTCCCACCTCATGGTGGTAACACTCTTTTTCGGACCCTGTATTTTCATTTATGCTCGTCCCTTCTCCATTTTTTCTGTGGACAAAATGGTGTCTGTACTCTACAATGTTATCACCCCTATGCTGAATCCCCTCATCTACACACTTCGGAACAAAGAGGTCAAGTCAGCTATGCGGAAGCTGTGGGGTAGGAGTGGACTTCCTTGGAAAAAGCAGAGGCCCTAAGAATTTGAAGTGAGTTTCTGAAAGCAAAGAATCTGAGGTTAAAATAATTCATTCTGTATTAATGAGTTAGGAGATGAGAGCCTAGTTGTTCCGTTTTCTTTTGTAATACTTCTAGTTATGGCTTTATAATTACATTAAACTCAGGAAAACTCCTTTCATATTGAATTTTCCAATCTCCTGCTTCCTTTTCTTCCCCGAAGCAAATCTGTTTTCTGTTTTTATCAGTCTGTGTTCTTTCATTCTATCCTTTCATTTGATCAAATTTTATTCCATTCTTTCTTTCTATTCAGTTTGCTATTACACAGTGGTACAAACTACCCTTTCCAAACTCTCACTACTTTTTCTTTGCCTTGCCACAGTTTTTATTTTCTTCTTGATTTTTAAGCTTTTTAAAAATTAGATGTCTGAATAAAACTAGATGAATTGAATAAGGAATTTATATATGTTTTTATTCCCACAAAATATTTAAAGGGTATCAGTTAGATGAACTAGGGTGAATCAAATTTATATGACTGTTGAATAATAAACTAATGGGACATATTAGTTAGTTTTGTCACTTCTCCATACTGCTAACAACCATGTAGTAGTATAATTGACAGATCAATCGCCTAATAGTGTGGGCTCAAGTACCCATCTGTGAGTTACAAGCCAATTGAATCTAGACAAATTAATGAAATTATTGGAACCATAATTTCCTTATCTGTAGTATTCACAAAATGATGCCTACCCCTCAGTGCTCTTTTGGAGGGTAAAAATTACAATAGATATGACTATATCTAGTTTGGTGCCTAGCTCATAACAGAGCTTCACTATTATTTATTTATTAAAGTTGTTTTTTTCGATGCCAGAAGATATAGATGGTGATATTTGAAACTGGTTGATTTGCTTTAGTGAAACAATGGCATGGTCTATAAGCAATTTGTGAAGGATGTTAGAAAGTGTATAAAAATGAGTCATGATATTTTTCCTGTATGAATTATTGAACACAATTTATATTCTGTCACCATTATCATAAAAAATTTTCTCATTGACATAGGTTGTCTTCAGGGTTATAGTAAGACTAATTCATAAGCTTGTGTACTGCTTACTAAGATTTTATAATCAAGGGTAAGAAGATTAAATTAGCAGTCAAGTTTATGACAAACTAGACACAAATAAAATATGAATGTAAAATACTAATGTACTATAAATTATTTGCATTGCTTTAGCTTTTTTTTAGTCGGTGGATTATAGAAGCAATTTCACCAACTAATTTAGGTGATGAAGACAGAAGCCACAAATGTTAGGTAAATTCATTGAAAACTGAGGTTTTGTCTTTATTATCTTAATGTTCCCAACACTTTTTAAAATGCTTAAAATAAAATAAATATGTATTGAACAAATGAAGGAGGCTTTTATATATTCCCTGATCAATGTGGTAATGATTAAGAAAGAGATATTTCACAGCTGTTTTCTTTCCCCATACTTGGAAAGGTAACTTGTAAATATTTCATTGAGACTTAGAAAACATTTTGAGAGATATTACAGAAGCAAGAACAAATCAAAACACTTATGAATATACCACCACTGTTAGTGAAGTCAGATAGATATCTCAATATAAAAGAGATAATTAAGAAATTTAATTCATAATAAAGCAACTATTACTCATGTGCCTTCATCTATAGAGACTTGACTATGGAATCAGAGAGGTCTATATTTGAATTCTCAGTCAGTACTTTATTAACAATATTACCAACTGATGAGGTAATTGAGGATCAAAATTCAGCAGAATTGAGGCAACTAATCATAAATAATCCAGTTGGTTTTTCACTAGAGATTAATATTGATGCTGGACATTTCCCACTAATCAATGATATATGAAAAAAGTAATACTTAGGAATTTTATAAAAATTATGCAACATTTTGGAGTAGAGGGAGAAGACAAAAAGCCTATAATATAAAATCATTATTCTTAGGAAATGTAAGAAATATAGAAACATATATAAATATAAACTCTACAGGCTAAATGAAATATGTAGAAATAAATAAATAAATATCTCTAGAAATTCTCAAGAAAACAGACATATTAAAAAAGTATTGCTTCCGTATATATAAAAAAATTGTTAAATTGTTAATCATACTAGCAATTTTAAATTGCTTTTTTCTTATCCTTTTCGAAGGCTACTTTCATTTCTTTTTTTAGCAGATGAAACAATTTTATTTCACAGTTGTCTTTAAAACCACAAATGTTCTTCATATAAAAACATTAGTACAGATAAAGATAACTATACTTCCTAGAAAATGATTATATATACCCCCCCCAAAAAAAAAATCCCATTATATGGTTTCAGTGAAGATGCTTAGAATTCCAAACCACACATTTGGACTGATTCCTAAAACATACCATTCCACCACTGCAACTTTTGGTTCAAAGTATAGATTATTGTCATCAGTACATGTTCCTGCATTCTTACACCTTTGATAATACACATGTAGACTGGGGAATTATCATTTAATGCTCCATTGCTTCATCAGCCTTTCCTGCAGGTTCATCAGATGGTTGAATGGGCTGTGCCTTTCTCTGTAGCCTTCCTTCAAGACCTTCCAGGAATGGAGACATATCATCATCATCATCATAAATCATCATCATAAATCGTAAACTCCAAATCATTTCTGTTGGTTTCTAGAATTCAAATTCAGCATATCAATGATACAATCACATCATTTGCATCTTTAAAGGCTTCCTAGGTGGATTTAATACAGGCAGTCTTCAAATTATATTTTGGAAACTCTGTATTTAACTTATCTTATTTCTAAGTAAGAAAATGACTTTCATAAATGCTTCCCCAAATTCAAGGAAGTTCCTCTATTTGGAATCTATGACTTCCTGCAAAAGCCAATAGTTTGTGGAAAACAGAAACTGGCAGCTCCTCTCACTCAAGTCTCACTAACATATCAAGCTTTCAGATTGTTCAGTCTAGACAGCTAAACCCCAGGATTTCTGCACCTAAACAGATAGTGCAGTGGGCCACATCCATCTTCATGGATCTGGCCAAAGAAAGGTGGAGAGTTGAGAAGAAATTAGGGATGTGACATAAACTCACTGGGTAGATATAAAAAGTCAGAAACACCTTGTGGAATCTAACACCTATTTAGGCACTTAGTATATAACTGCTTCTATGCTAAACACTGTGGTGTGTGTGTGTGTGTGTGTGTGTGTGTGTGTGTGTGTGTGTGTGTGTGTGGTGTGTGTGTGTTTATAGGACAAAATACAGAATCCTAGGAAATTGGACAAAAATTAAAGTAATAAGGGAAGTTTTTCCTAACCATCAGAACTACATTAGGTTTCCCTCTCATGTGCTCTCAGAACATATCATGTTTACTTCTATTATAGTTCTCACTGCATAGCATATTTTGTAATTTTATACCTGCTTTTATTCCACTAAACTTGGAATAAATACTCTTTTTGCACTCCTTGCCGGGTACAGAATCTGAAATATAGTAGGTCCTTGACAAACACTTGTTAATTGAATAAATAAGTGTATAAATAATATTAGTTATATTTTGAGGATAAAATGGCTATGTCCAAAGTATATAAAGTAAATAATCAGTTTTACATGAAAAAAAACTAAGTTATTCGAAAGCAGATATTTATTTCCTTTCAAGCTCTTTAAATGTTCACATACATGGATGTGAATGAGCATAAAAATTGACTATGTCCAAACTCTATAAAATCAAAACACAATATTATCACAATAGTAAGCAAGTGAACTCTTGATAAACTTATCTTAATGCAGAGTTCTTCTATGTCAGTGGTCAGCAAACCATGGCTCACAAGCCACATGCGGCTCTTTGGCCCCTTGAGTGTGGCTCTTCCACAAAATACCACATGCGGGTGCGCACGTACAGTGCAATTGAAACTTCGTGGCCCATGCGCAGAAGTCGGTTTTCGGCCTGAGCGAGTCTATTTTGAAGAAGTGGCGTTAGAAGAAGTGGGGGGTGTAGGTCGGTTGGGCAACGGGAGACATGGCGAAGGCGGGCCATGGGATACACAGTGCGGGGGAGGCGCGCGCGATTCATGCATGAGTTGAGTGAGCCAGTCAGTCAGCAGTCTCATTGTGCAGTGGTTAGTGCTAGTCGCATCCGAAAATCGTGCGCGGGTGACAAAAGTACCTACTCTAAGCATAAAGTTACCTGTATTTTTCCAACCAGCTGCAAATCCCACAGGTATTTTTGTCATCAATTTAAGAATTGTAATTCTTTTGTGTTGGTGGCTTTATTATTATAAAATGAAACTTTTTTTAGGTGCCCTGTTTAGATGGCTACAAAGAAGAAGCAAAGAAAAACGGAAGACGAAAACCGTGAATTTAAAGTTGAATGTACCTACCTATATAGTTTAAGTTTAAAAAATTTGGCTCTCAAAAGAAATTTCAGTTGTTGTACTGTTGATATTTGGCTCTGTTGACTAATGAGTTTGCCGACCACTGTTCTATGTTAATTTAGTGTTTTTGCCCATTTGTGGGATTGCAGTCATAAGGGAAGTCAGAAGTACCTAGGAGTGTGCTTTCTCTGATTGAAGACATTGCCCAAAATAACTGGAAGTTTCATCCAGTTACTCAAGTAATCCAATCATTTCCCATTCCTATCCTTTGTTTTGATGTTTTACAATCAATGTTGAAGAACACTGCTTTCACTCCTTGACCATTAATTTAATTAATGTAAAATGTAACTTGTTTGTGATTCTCTTTTCAGGATCCAAAGACATTTTTAAAAACTCATAGTTTTAAAAACTATGATTTCAATCTGTGGTATTCAAATACACTTCCTAAGATGATTCCCAAAGTAAGAAATCAACTCAGTAAAATACAGTGTTTGTTTAAAATCTACTGTGGGTGAAAAAATATAAAAATAAAATCTACTATGGGTGAAAATAACCTATATAATAAACACCTAGGTGGCGTCACGCCCTTGTGCAACACCCTTGCGTGACATCATCACAAGATGGCTGCCACAAGATGACC